CTAAACACAGTGTATTATTAACCCAAGCTTAGGTTGAATTCTTAGGTTGACGGTCAACCTAGGATACCATCATAGTGAGTGGGTGCCGTTGCGACGGGGAGAGTGGACGAGGCTTCTGAGTGGGCAACGAAGCGAGGGAGAGTATAGCGCCAGTACTTGTTGGGACGCTCCTGCAAGATGCACAGTTTTCCACTAAGAGGTCATCGTCAAACGTGGAAATCAGACGTTATATCCCAGTGTGAGCGAAACATGAGTTGTTTTCACCCGCTTTTGCAAAGGTAAATCGCTTCCGAAGGTCTGCATTGCGCAATCTTAACAGCTGCAAACAACAGCGTCTTCAAAGACGACGACGAGGAGCAAATGACGAGCAACGCCGTGGCTTGAAACCTCCAGCAACGCCTTTTCACAAGTTCCTGGAGAGGACTTTGCCGCGCTCCTAACATGCACTTTGTGTTAGTTCAGTCCGCGTCCATATTTATTCATTGCATTATCAACAGTTGTCCCCCGCTCGTGTTCGCCACGACCTCCACCCTCTCCTTCTAACGTTACCGTTACGACCGACATGAAATGACGAGCAATTGACAAGAAGACCGACTACTTCGACTCGTCGGCGACCAGCGCAAACAGCTCATCGTGGACGCTCACCTCGACGTTTGCTAGCCCTGCCGACCGTGTGCCTCGAGTCACGGTCGTCAAATCGCCATAGGGAATCGAGGGCACCATTTACTGGCACGATAGGACATTGAAGCTCAACGGAGAGGAGCTGAAAGTCGACGATGTCAGGCTCGAGGAGACCGGGACCGGGACTGGGTGAGCCTCTCGACATGAGATTCATGTTTGCATCATGACTAGAACTGAGCCGGTCGTATCTCTCTCTCTTCAGCTGCCATTGGTCTTATCAAAAGACACAATGGCGCGTCCAGTACCAATACGCCGCTAAAACCTGGACGGTAAGCACACGCTTCGCCTCTCCTCTGAAGTCATGCGGGCTTATTCCGATATCCCCCGTTCGCAGGCAATAGTATGGCGGTACACCACAAGTGACGTCGCCGAAGAAACCCCAACCCCGTCCGCCGAGTTCAAGATCTACGAACCAAAAGTCGTCAGAAAGTCTGTGCCGGCATACTTGGGTTTCCATTCGCCGCTGTCAGAAACGGACGCACATTTCACACTTCTGGCACTGTTATACTCGGAAACTACGGAGGATAAGCCTAGCACCACCCGCGGTTTTGGCCATATAGTTGGGGTGGCGATTACTTCACTTTTGCGTTCAAGCTCGTTTGGTGACGGCCTTGTATATATGGTTGATTATAGATTGACCTTATTTCAGAAATTTGAGCCTTTGGTTCAGACCGTGCTTAGGGTTCATCAGCAGCCAGATAGGTGTCGAGGTGCCCAACCCCGGCAGTTCTCTGTATTTTCTTGTTTTAGGTACTGGTAAGTATACTACCTTGCCTGCAGACGCCGCAACGGACAGCGCGACTGCTGAAAGAATCCTTCTTTCTTCTTTACTCAGGATTCCAGACACACAAAGATCCCCTACGCGCCGTATACCTTATCTTATAGAGCGTAAATCTAAACCTAGACCAGGTTGCAAATCATGTAAGGAGACACAGTGACGCGTGAGGCATTCGTTATTCTGTTATCCTCACACTATCGCTTTCCCCTTCCCTTTCACCTCCTCGATCAGCCCCACCGCTTCCCAAAACCTCCTCGAGGGCGGATGCTTCAGCACATACCTCTCCACCCGCCTCACCGACAGCTCCACATAACCCCGCGGGAATCCAGGCTGCGTAATATCGAGTTTCTCCGTGTCTGCAACGGCCAAGAGACGCCCGATATCCTGCTCAACAGTGAGGTAAGGTTGACGCCGCGGGGAGGCAGACATGTACGGTGTATTAAGACGTCACCTGGATCTGCCCTTGGCTAATGTAAATATAATTATAAAATGGCGTGAAGCATGATGCATGAGGCATGGTTATTGAAAGAGCGTCCGTGCGAGTAGTACTACTACTCAGCCAACGACAAAAACCTAACGCAATTCCCAACACACGAAAAACAAGGCACTAAATGTACATCTAAATTCTAATCGACAAATTTAAAGAACCCCACTCACACACTGCCCTTCCCCTTCCCAGCTTCTCCATCTCCACCTGCTCCCAACCACCGAATACCACCCCAACTAACCCACATCCCCCACAAACCTCCCACTCCCTCCTATCCCGCGCAAGCTCCTCCACCCTCACCCCAAGCTCCAGCACCCTTTCCGTCTCCTTCCACCCGACTCCACGCGCGGGAGTGCGGGAGTGCGCTACGGAGGTGGAGTACCGGGGCGGCGGGGGCGGCGGGGGGGACTGGGTGAGCTGGTGCTGGGACGCGTCGGTGGGGTCGGCGGGTGTGGAAGGCGTGCGGGTGTGTGTGAGGGAGGAACGGTGTGCGAGCTGGGAGTGCAGGCTGGACCAGAGCGGCGGGGGCGGGGAGGGCGAGCGTGCGGACCGCGGTTTCTCGATGGAAAGGGAAGGCGAAAAGTGGAGGGGGGGGGAGCGGGCGAGCGAGCGCGTACCTCGTTCGGTGAATGCCTCCCAGCAGGTTTATGGGCCCGGGGCTTTCCTCCTTTCCTTGCTTGTTCTGCCTCGAAGCTCAAGATGGTATAGGAGAAGGGACAGACCTGCGCGAGGTACCAGCGAGATACTTGATATTGGGCTCCCGCGGGGGGTTTTTTTTTTTTTACTCAAGTGGCTTCGTCGAGGCGTCGAGCGTCGAGACTCTGCTGGGGATTGAGATGACAGCAGATAAAAATAAATTTCTGGATTCTCGCGATTGCACTGTGCCGAGCTGGTGCTGGTGGATCACAGGTAGCCATCCACATCTTGCCCATGTGCGCATATCGACGTCAACCTCCTGCTTTCCCTGGTCCCAGCAGCTCGTAGCCTGTAGGTGTTAACGCACCACATGGTTGAAGCGTCACAGAGCAAGCAACTTTATCATCTGCAAGCGATGCACTTGCCACGGAGGTACTCAAGTATGACGGCAACAGGACACCCACATCCCCAGCGCCTTGCTGGAACTCTCCAAACCTGATATAAAAAAAGAACATATGAGGAGAATGGCATGGACACACCCGGAATTGAACCGGGGACCGCCCGCAAGTTGGTCAGTGTGATCTGATGCTAAGCGGGCGTGATAACCAACTACACCATGTGCCCTTGTGAGTCGCGAGTCGCGAGCCGCACGCTGCACAATATAGGTATAGGTGTCATCAGTCGACGAGCATAATCCGGTGCGTTTGCCTGCCGTTCAGTGGTCTTGTGCGTTCGTCGGGACTCAGGACTTGACTAGGTGTGTAAGCGGATTCGTGGTTGTGGGTGGCAACACCAAGCACGGAGACGAAGAGGATGCTGAGGACCGAGGTTGAGCGGAGCGGGGAGAGCCTGCAGGTAGAGGTTGTCGTGAATGATGGGCTCGTGACAACATAGTATAGTTCGCCTTGGAAGAGGGCCCGGCGTACCGAGTGTTAAGTGTTAGATGTGAGGCACTTATAGATCGCAGATAGCGGTACATGCGGAGAACGAGGGGCCAGACACGAGGGGTATGTATATCTAGGAGCCCGGGTGCCCACGATGCTGAGGCTGAGGCTGCGCCTGAGAGAATCCTGGTGTCCCGGGAGAGCTCGTTGGGGTCTAGCGAGCGTAAGCTTGGCGGTCAGCGGAAACGACGTGCTGCGCTTATGAATCCCAGATAGCGTGACGAATGCGGAGAACCGGGGTCGGCGTCGAAGGGGGTTGCCGTTGACTAGCGGGACAGGAGTAAGTGGATGCAACATTTGTCATGGCTCTTGACGCGCTCCGTGTGGGGAGCCGAACGCGATTGTCCAGCGGGTGTTGGGTGGGTGCCGTTGCGACGGGGAGGGTGCACGAGGCATTCGAGTGGGCGCGTGCAAGGAAGCGAGGGATAGTAGAGCGCTAGCTGCGAGATGCACAGGTTTCCACTAAGAGTTTATCGTGAAAAGTGGACAACAGGCGTTATGTCTAAGTGTGAACGAACTTTGAGTTGTGTCTATAAGCTTTTGCAAAGGTGACGACCAATTGCAAGGAGAAATCGCTTCAGGTCTGTCTGAAATTGATGGGAAGAGCCGCGTGATCGGGATCTGCATTGCGCGATCCCAACACCTGTAAACAACGACGGCTTCTTGACGAGTCTACGACGAGCTGAACACTGCGGCATGAATGCGATGTCCACCAATGCTTTTTGACGAGTTCCTGGAGAGCACCTCACCGCCCGCTAATATAGTAATAATATGTGGAATGCATTGGCCCTGGACAGGTTCGTGTTAGTGCAGTCCAGCCCTCGGGTCCGTATTTATTCGGCCCATATTACTGCTTTATCAACAGTTGGCCGCTGCTCGTGTTCTCCACGACCTCCCCTTTCTCCCTTTAACGTCACCGTTACGACCGACACGACATGACGAGCATCATCACCGACCAGACCCAGCTGCAGCTCGTCGCGGACGGCGGCAAGTGGACGACGCTCACCATGGAGCGCTACTATGGCGGCTCTGCCATCTCGTCCACTTTTGCCGCGACAGAGTTTGGCGACACAGGCCACTACGGGCGTCTCTCACTCGCGTTCCAAGGTCCGTCTCCCCTCTCAACTCTGTACTCACTGTCTAACACCCACCCAGGGACCCAGATCGCGCTCTTCGGGTCGTCACCACCCGCCCGCGCCTCGCAGAACATCCAGGTCTCCATCGACGGCGGCACGCCCTACGCGACGACCTACGGCGACTCGTACCCGCCCAGCGTGCTGCAGTGGTACCTCTCCCCGCTGCTCCCCGACGGCAACCACACGCTCGTCATCTCCCAGATCGCCGGTGCGTCGCTCGACTACGTCGTCACCACCCCGGGGCCAAGCACCCCGCTCGACGGGCAGGAGGTCATCCTCGACGACGGGGACGCCTCGATCACGTACGCGGGGCCGTGGGTCAGCAAGGGCGGTACGTTCCAGACGGGCGAACAGCCGTTCGTGGTCATGCCGTATGGCGGTGCGGTGCACCAGGCACAGGGCAAGGGCGCCACCGCCGTGTTCCAGTTCACCGGTACGTCCAGCGGTGCCTCTCCGTGTTGAACTAGACCTGACTTGACTTGACTTGACGCGACCAGGCACCGCGATCACCCTCTACGGCGTGCAAGACTTTTCCCACCTCGGCACCATGCAAGTCGTGTACACGCTCGACGGCGTTGCCTACCCGCAGACCTATACCGTCACGCTCCAAACACCCGAATACCACGCCGCCGTCATCCAGCGCGGCAACACGCCGCTGTTCACCTCGCCCCCAGCACTTGCCGCAGGCAACCACACGCTCAAAGTCGAGGTCCTAAGCCTCGCAGAGCAGATGTCGCTCATGCTCGACTACATCGTGTACACGCCCTCCGCAGACGCGCTCGCCGCGATCCCCACGACCACCCTGGAGACCTCCACCGCGCCGACCGAGACGCCCACACTGGCGCCTGTGCCCGTGCCGACCGTGGACGAGAGCGCGAACCATAAGCTGGGCGGGGTGCCGATTGCGGCCGTCGCGGGTGGTGCGGCGGGCGCGGTCGTGATCATCGCGCTGCTGCTGTTCCTGTACGTGCGCAGCCGCCGACGCGTGGCCCCGCGGGACGGCGGCCCCGTGACGTCCTGGGCGGCGTTCACCGAGCGAGGTGCGTGTTTTTGGTCTACACTCTGTCTGCCGCACTCATGTTCTCATGTACGCATATCCACAGCCGAGCTCCTCCGCGTCGCGCCGTTCGCCGAGCCGAAAGGCGGCGCCTCGAACACGGGGAGACCCATCGAGAAACCGCGGTCTGCGCCCTCGCACTCACGCTCGCCTACGCCAGACTCCACACCGTCCCAACCCCTCTGGTCCCGGCTGCACTTCCAGCTCCCGCACCGCTCCTCGCACACACACACACACATCACCCAAAGCACCCCCCCTTCCCCTTCCTCCCCCACCTCCCCCACCGACCCCCTTACCCACACGCAATCCCAATCCCAGCCCCACTCCCCCTCCCCCCCGCCACCCCCGCGCTACTCCATCTCCGTCACGCACTCCCGCTCGTACTCGTACTCCCTCTCCTACGTCCCGGACGACGAGTCCGAGCGCACGCCCGCGCAGCGCATGCACGAGGCGGTCGTTGCGCTCAACCGGGAGCTCACGGAGTCCGGCGGGGAGGAGACGGAGCGGGTCGTTGAGCTGCGGGCGCGGGTGGAGGAGCTTGCGCGGGAGAGGAGGGAGTGGGAGGTTTGTGGCGGGATGTGGGGGTAGTGGTTGTGCCAGGTAGTCGCATTCGGTGGTTGGGTGGGGGGGGAGTGTACGATTGGGGCCTTTTTTTTTGGTGGGTTCGTGGATTTGGATTGGATGGAATTTTAGATGTACTTTTTGCATGACTGTTTGGCGCCTGCTCGCCCTGCCAGGTGCTTTGTTTTCTTGTATTGGGACTTTTGCTTGGGTTATGTCGCTACGGCTGAGTAGTATTAGTAGTACACGCACGCACGCTCTTTCATTGTCAATACAGTATGACCATGCTTCATGCTACTTGATATATTTACGTCGGCCGAGGGACTTGACTTGGGCCGGCAGGTCCAGTTAATGGAATTGTCGACCTCCTGTTGCCTCATGCAGCGCGCGGCGTGCGGCGTGAGGACCGTCCTTGACCCTAAGCCTCATGATCATGAGCCTCGAGAAAGAACAGGAATTGAAAAGATGATGGAACTAAACTGTTGGAGCTGATTAATGACTAGCCTCACAGTCGACGAAAAGGCACAGGCACAAGATCGTCGTAGGATAGCAAGCACCGCGAGCACCGTCGTCACCACGCACGCGTGCTTCGTCGCGATCGGCGGAATGGCGTGCACGCTCGTCACGGGCAGAGACTCCACGGCCAGGATCCCCACAGTGAGTTGCGGTACCTTATGCTTATGTTGATAAATCTCCTGACCCGCGCAATCCGAGTCGTTCAGGACCTCGATGTCCCATATATGCCTAGGGGGGGCTCAAAGTTGCGGCAGATGGGCGCAGAACCCGCAGACGCAGATGCTCGCAGATGAAGGGAGTCACACGAAGTAACATCAGTAACATCTGTGACGGAATCGGTCGTGCGACGCGGCTCATCATTATCTTTACATTGTACACTATCCTCTTCATAAAACACACTCTTTACCTCATCTATATGGAGACTATACCCATGGCCAGAGGCGAGACCTCGAAGCCCATCAAGGAATCATTTCCTGCTGTGGCCTGGACTGCCAACAGACAGGAACTTACTTGGGCCTTGATTGGTGAAGTTGAGAAGACAGAAAACCATAAGGTTATTGTTGGGAATCAAAAGTGAGGTGGGTGGTTTTAAATATTTTTTGAAAGTAGCCTGTCATAATTTTGCCCATAGAATTCGAGTGGAGATCACAAGATTCAAGCTTATAAGTGTGTTGCTCAGAAGGTGTTGGTTGACATGTTTAATGCTGATCCTGGGACTGCCACAAACCACTGCAAGTCTAAGTGGGAGAGGTATTCTCCTGTAATCTATGTATAATGATCTTGCTAATCTGATGCTAGCTTACACAAAACTTATGCCTTCCATGCGAAGTGACTTTACCGGACAGGAGAAGGTGTTGAGCAAGTACTAACAGGAGATGGGAACAAGGCAGATCAGTATCTAGAATGCTATGTTCCACCAGAGGGACCAGATGGGACAACCACTACAGAGGTGAAGAATATATGGGGTACATGAATTGGATATTGTATTTTGGTTTGAGTGCTAAACCTTGATGCTTAGATGAGATTACCGAGGAATTCATCTTCTTTCCCACTTTGCATCTCTTTCTCTCAACTCGTCCCAATGTCACTCCCATTGCTGTAACCACTGGCACTGGGCCTAATGGCTGAAAGATTGCTCATTATCAGCCCCCTGATGGACAACCTAATGCACCAATTGACAATCCTGATGCCAACATTGACCCAGTCCTCCTTGCAATCAGTATCCCAGCTCATGTTCATCTACCCTCAGAGCATGTCCCAGCAGCTGATCCTGACAAAGAGAACTTATCTCCAGTCCCCGATGACATTCCTTTGACACCTCTCCAGACACTGTTGAGGCAGGCCCCAAATCCCTCTACATTTGGCTCTGCAAAGCTTGACGCTGCCATTGCAAAAGCAAGTACTTTGATC